ATATGTAGTTTTTCCACTGATTAATTTAATAATAATATTTTTTAAAGCCACTTTAAACTGTGTATGTTCAAGTCAGAATTGCCAGACACCGAGTTAAATGTAAGTCAGTATTTTGAGTCATACTAGATCCATTTGAAAATTCCGAGACTGGAAATTCATCTGTGCAAAAATGCCTTTACAGTGGATAAAAAGGATGGAATAGTATAGTAAGGCCTAAAGAATGGGATCTCCTCTGTATAAGAACTAAAACAGATGAATGAAAGGGTTTTCTTTAAAGGAATTTCTTGCAAGCATAATGTATCCTTTGTGCAGAGTCTTGTGCTTGCACCTCTGAAGGACAGTGTAGACACACTCTTATTCTGTGAGATTAGTGTAGTGTAGGAGCTGAGAAATTTTTTTTTTGTAATGTATTTTTTCCATTCAGTAGTGTTAGGTTGTACTAAGCTTACTGAATTCATAGACTATTTTTTTCCTTAAAAGCGTGTTTCTTACACTTTTCAAGAAGTGTGTAGCTGAAAGCTGAGGGGGAGGACTAGCAGTGACCAAAATAGGAAGAAACTTCTCCATCGTGTTTTTACTTTGACAACTGGGACAACCATTTCCAGAAGCATCTTGACTGTATTTTAGAAACAATTCTTTAATAAGTGATAGTTTCATCCGTATACAAATTCAACAGATGCAAAGCCTATAGAAATGCCAAAGATTGTTCTCTCTTTATATGTGATTGTGTAAGTGCATCGTCATCAGATTCCTCACTTGTGAGGTATGAAAGTTATTCTTCCAGTGATAAACAAGCATTTTTAGATCTGAGCCCTGGTAGTTGAATGTGGAAACAGATAGCAATACCACACTTACTAGAGACCTAAAATGATGAAATGAACAATTACTCTTTCTGTGTGGTGAGTACTGTGACAGCCCAAGCCACAAAACGCTTCTTTTCCTAGGGTGTTGCGTTCAACTGACCAAGATCGCTTCCAGGTCATGTTTTGCTATTTTGAGGATAAAGCAATTCAAAAAGACAAATCTGGTAAGATTACCTGGGTAGGTTACCTTGCAACTTGAGACACCATGCATGCAAAACTAAACCAGACAACTATATAACAGAATTAATCACATTCATGAGATTGCTGTTGCTTTATTCATGCCAAGAGTGCTGGTTTTGTTTTGAAACAGCTTGGTTCAGTGTTGGCTGAGTAAACATAAACACTTTCAATTGTTAAACGTGGTTTATAAAGCAAACGTAATTCTGATAATTGGACTGTCCCTTCTCTCAATTCCTCAGGCATGATGCAGTGTGTGATAGCTGTTGCTGATAAGGTGTTTGAAGCTTTCCTGACAATGATGGCTGATAAAGTAGGTTTCATGGAAACTAAAATTTTAAATTTGTCTAAGTGTTCTCCTATCAATTTATGAAGGTGCGTTTGACTTTCTTCCTTAAGAGCTTTATACTTCTCTTTTGGCATGCTTTGTAGCCTAAAACTAAGGAGAACGAGGAAGAACTGGAGAGACATGCTCAGTTCTTGCTGGTGAATTTTAACCACATTCACAAGAGGATCAGGAGAGTTGCAGACAAATATTTATCTGGTCTGGTAGACAAGTGAGTACAGATTTAATTTTCCTATTCTCTTTTCACATTGACTGCTTAGTGATTACTTAATGCAGCTGGCACGACAGTCAGGCGAATTTCTTGGCTGGTACTTTTCCTGAAACACCTCCCTGAAAATAACATTCCGTAGTCTTTTTAACCTGGGCTCTGAAACCCCTTCTGAAAACGTCTGTGTCGTCTTAATATTCCCTTGGTCAGAGTGAAGCAAAGTGCCCATGGAGTAAATGCAATCTCAGCTTAGCTCTGCTCAGCTTGCTCTTGCAGGGCTTTCGACTGCCCTGAGCGGGACTGTTGTGAGCCATGGCAAGCCCGTGGGACTTGTGTGGAGTGTGAGCTTAGCCTGGGATGGATGTAGCTAGCTCCACTTCCTGATAAAACAATTTCCTTCCTCTGCTCTTCATGATTATTTGGGTTTTGAATCTTGTCTTGCTCTAGATTTCCTCACTTGCTGTGGAGTGGAACTGTCCTGAAGACTATGCTGGATATCTTGCAGACACTGTCATTGTCTCTTAGTGCAGTAAGTTGCTTTTTTAGTCATGCTCTTAGGGAAATAAAGTGTATGTTTCCATATTTCTTTTTATTTTGTTTAACTGATTTTTTTCTTGCTTGTTTTGCATTTCTTTAATAATTGAGTTCTTACTTTGTTTTTTCTTCGGTCACTAAGACTGATAAAAATCTTAATATTACTTTCTGTGAAATAGAATTTGTACCCTTGTTTCATAGGTAGTAGAACTGGTGCTAGAAAGTTGTTGTCAAATGTGGGTGATTCAGAAAGTCAAAGGTAGCATCAAGAGTAAAACGCAGGATTACCAGTTAGGGGCTGTAACTGTTAAGCTGTCTCAGTTGAAGTAATAATTTGGTGATATGTTTTTGTTCTTTTTATGCATTTTTTTTGTCATATTTTTTCCAGACTATGTATGTGTATTCCTTGGGTTTGTTATATATTTGCAATTTTTTATAGATGGAAATGCTTTATACAGTTTTATTTTTGTACTAAATGTTGAGGAGAGGACTTTGGATTTTCAAAATTATTTGTACTGAAAACCACACTGGAATAAAAAGTGTTTCTTAAAGCTATTCAGATTGACTTTGAGAGCAAATACTAGCAAAGAGGTTTGGTAAATCAGACTTACTGTTTGAGATGTGCTACCTGTAGCATTCAAGTTAAGTGATGGTGAATTTTATCTTACTGAAAATTGGTAATTGTTTCTGCTAGGACATTCACAAGGACCAACCATACTATGACATTCCTGACGCTCCCTATAGAATAACTGTCCCTGACACACATGAAGCCAGAGAGGTAGGTGGTCCTATAATAATGTCTGATTTTTGTATGCCAAGGAGATTAATTAGAGCTACTCTGAATGGTCCTTTTCAAAAAAATACTGCACTAGGTACAATGTAACACTTACTATTTGTGTTTTTCTGCATCTAACTGTTTTACTTGACTTGAAGGCTGACAGGTATTTGCTTGCCAAGGGTACATTTAACTGTTACAGAAAGCTTTAGCTGTATCATGTTATTGTAACCTGTCTTACTCTCTACCTGGTTACACCATTGGAACCAGTGTCTCTTACTAAATGTCCTGAATTTTACTGATCATATTTCTGCTCTCTAATTCTAGAGTATAGTCAAGGATTTTGCTGCACGCTGTGGGATGATTCTGCAAGAAGCAATGAAATGGGCTCCCTCAGTTACAAAATCTCATCTACAGGTAACGAGCCTGCTTCTGTGAGAGAGTTTGATCTTCGCAGAGCTTCAAAACAAGAAATTATGTAATATTTTTGATTTTGCAGGCTATCTGAGCATCATTTTAATTTTATTGCTTGCTCTAAGATTTGCTTTATTGCATTGGCACAGAATAAATAGAATTTTTGATTTGATATGACTTTTGATATATGTCTTGAAAATAACAGTTTTGTGAACAGTTGATCATCCTGGATTTGCTTCAGAAGTCAGAATTTCATATAACAGTGTCTAGCTAAGTTTGTTTAATTTGGTGCATTAGCTGTAAATATCAGCTGAACTGAAACGTATGATTAGGATGCAAAACTTGTTTCTTTTTTCTCTCTTGGGAGGATGTGTTCTTCTGCCTGTGTTCCTTTTTTTAAAATATGGAGGAAAACTGCTAATACCATGAGAACGCTGTAAACTGCAGACTTGAATTTGAGCATGGATGTGGGAAATGCTCTTGTGTGGCAGAGTTGAGTAGAAAGCTGTCATGAGACCACAAGCAAAGGCTGCGAAAGACTGTAGTGCTAGTAACAGAATTTTTGGGGAAGTTCAAGATCTTGAATGCTGCAACTCCACCTGAAGCTTATATTTATTTCCCGAACAGAAACCTCGGGGATTCGT